TTCCTAGCCGATCGCGTGCTTCCCTAACCTAAGCCGTGCTTCCTAGCCGATCGCCGTGCTTCCCTAACCTAAGCCGTGCTTCCTAGCCGATAACCTAAGCCGTGCTTCCTAGCGATCGCCGTGCTTCCCTAACCTAAGCCGTGCTTCCTAGCCGATCGCCGTGCTCCCTAACCTAAGCCGTGCTTCCTAGCCGATCGCCGTGCTTCCCTAACCTAAGCCGTGCTTCCTAGCGATCGCCGTGCTTCCCTAACCTAAGTGCTTCCTAGCCGATCGCCGTGCTTCCTAACCTAAGCCCTAGCCGATCGCGTGCTTCCCTAACCTAAGCCGTGCTTCTAGCCCTTCCCTAACCTAAGCGTGCTTCCTAGCCGATCGCCGTGCTTCCCTAACCTAAGCCGTGCTTCCTAGCCGATCGCCGTGCTTCCCTAACCTAAGCCGTGGCTTCCTAGCCGTGGCGCGATCGCGTGCTTCCCTAACCTAAGCCGTGCTTCCTAGCCGATCGCCGTGCTTCCCTAACCTAATTCCTAGCGATCGCCGTGCTTCCCTAACCTAAGCCGTGCTTCCTAGCCGATCGCCGTGCTCCCTAACCTAAGCCGTGCTTGCCGTTTCCTAGCCGATCGCCGTGCTTCCCTAACCTAAGCCGTGCTTCCTAGCCGATCGCCGTGCTTCCCTAACCTAAGCCGTGCTTCCTAGCCGATCCCGTGCTTCCCCTAAGCCGTGCTTCTAGCCGATCGCCGTGCTAAGCCGTGCTGATAACCTAAGCCGTGCTTCCTAGCCGGCCGTGCTTCCTAGCCGATCGCCGTGCTTCCCGTGCTTCCCTAAGCCGTGCTTCCTAGCCGATCGCCGTGCTCCCCTAACCTAAGCCGTGCTTCCTAGCCGTGCTTCCTAACCTAAGCCGTGCTTCCTAGCCGATCTTCCCTAACCTAAGCCGTGCTTCCTAGCCGATCGCCGTGCTTCCCAAACCTAAGCCGTGCTTCCTAGCGATCGCCGTGCTTCCCTAACCTAAGCGTGCTTCCTAGCCGATGTGCTTCCCAACCTAAGCCGTGCTTCCTAAATCGCCGTGCTTCCCTAAGCCGTGCTTCCTAGCCGATCGCCGTGCTTCCTAAACCTAGCCTGCTTCCTAGCCGATCGCCGTGCTTCCTAGCTGCTCCCTAAACCTAAGCCGTGCTTCCTAGCCGATCGCCGTGCTTCCCTAACCTAAGCCGTGCTTCCTAGCCGATCGCCGTGCTTCCCTAACCTAAGCCGTGCTTCCTAGCCGCGTGCTTCCTAGCCGATGCCGTGCTTCCTAACGCTTGCTTCCTAGCCGATCGCCGTGCTTCCTAGCTGATCGCCGTGCTTCCCTAACCTAAGCCGATCGTCGTGCTTCCCAAACTAAGCCCTAGCCGATCGTCGTGCTTCCCTAACCTAAGCGTGCTTCCTAGCCGATCGCGTGCTTCCCTAACCTAAGCGTGCTTCCTAGCCGTGCTTCCTAGCCGATCGCCGTGCTTCCCTAACCTAAGCCGTGCTCCCTAACAAGCCGTGCTTTTTAGCGATCCCGTGCTTCCTAACCTAAGCCGTGCTTCCTAGCCGATCAGCGTGCTTCCCTAACCTAAGCCGTGCTTCCTAGCCGATCGCCGTGCTTCCCTAACCTAAGCGTGCTTCCTAGCCGATCGCGTGCTTTCCTAACCTAAACCGTGTTCCTAGCCGATCGTCGTGCTTCCCTAACCTAAGCCGTGCTTCCTAGCCGATCGCCGTGCCCTGCGTGCTTCCTAGCTCGCCGTGCTTCCTAACCTAAGCCGTGCTTCCTAGCCGATCGCCGTGCTTCCCTAACCTAAGCCGTGCTTCCTAGCCGATCGTCGTGCTTACTTAACCTAGCCGTGCTTCCTAGCGATCGAGCCGTCGTGCTTCCCTAACCTAAGCCGTGCTTCCTAGCCGATCACTGTGCTTCCCTAACCTAAGCGTGCTTCTAGCCGATCGCCGTGCTCCCTAACCTAAGCCGTGCTTCCTAGCCGATCGTCGTCCTTCCCTAACCTAAGCCGTGCTTCCTAGCCGATCGCCGTGCTTCCGTGCTTCCTAACCTAAGCGTGCTTCCTAGCGATCGCGTGCTTCCCTAACCTAAGTGCTTCCTAGCCGATCGCGTGCTTCCCTAACTAAGCCGTGCTTCCTAGCCGATCGCCGTGCTTCCCTAACCTAAGCCGTGCTTCCTAGCCGATATAAGCCGTGCTTCCTAGCCGATCGTGTGCTTCCCTAACCTAAGCCGTGCTTCCTAGCCGATCGCCGTGCTTCCTAGCCGATCGCCGTGCTTCCTAGCCGATCCCGTGCTTCCTAAACCTAAGCCGTTTCCTAGCCGATCGCCGTGCTGCCGTGCTTCCTAGCGATCGCCGTGCTTCCGTGCTTCCTAGCCGATCGCAGCCGATCGCCGTGCTTCCCGAGCCGTGCTTCCTAGCCGATCGCCGTGCTTCCCTAGCCGATCGCCGTGCTTCCCCTAAGCCGTGCTTCCTAAACCGCCGTGCTTCCTAGCCGATCGCCGTGCTTCCCTACCGAAGCGTGCTTCCTAGCCGATCGCCGTGCTTCCTAACCTAAGCCGTGCTTCCTAGCCGATCCCGTGCTTCCCTAACCTAAGCGTGCTTCCTAGCCGATCGCCGTGCTTCCCTGTGCTTCCTAGCCGCCGTGCTTCCCCTAACCCCGTGCTTCCTAGCCGATCGCCGTGCTTCCTAACCTAAGCGTGCTTCCTAGCCGATCGCCCTAAGCCGTTCTTCCTAGCCGATAGCCGTGCTTCCCTATCCGTGCTTCCCGATCGTGCTTCCTAGCCGCCGTGCTTCTAGCCGCCGTGCTTCCCTAACCTAAGCCGTGCTTCCTAGCCGATCGCCGTGCTTCCCTAACCTAAGCCGTGCTTCCTCGCCGATCGCCGTGCTTCCTATTCGATCGCCGTGCTTCCTAGCCGATCGCCGTGCTTCCTAGCTGATCGCCGTGCTTCCTAACCTAAGCCGTGCGCCCTAGCCGATCGCGTGCTTCCCTAACTTAAGGCGTGCTTCCTAGCCGATCGCCGTGCTTCCTAAGCCGTGCTTTATCGTCGTGCTTCCCTAACCTAAGCCGTGCTTCCCTATTGCTTCCTAGCCGATCTCCGTGCTTCCGTAACCTAAGCCGTGCTTCCTAGCCGTGCTTCCTAGCCGATCGCCGTGCTTCCCTAACCTAAGCCGTGCTTCCTGCGCCGATCGTGCTTCCCTAACCTAAGCCGTGCTTCCTAGCCGATCAGCGTGCAACCTAAGGCGTGCTTCCTAGCCGATCGCCGTGCTTCCCTAACCTAAGGCGTGCTTCCTAGCCGATCGCGTGCTTCCTAACCTAACCGTGATCGTCGTGCTTCCCTAACCTAAGCCGTGCTTCCTAGCCGATCGCCGTGCTTCCCTAACCTAAGCCGTGCTTCCTAGCCGATCGCCGTGCTTCCCTAACCTAAGCCGTGCTTCCCGATCGCCGTAACCTAAGCCGTGCTTCCTAGCCGATCGCGTGCTTCTTAACCTAAGCGTGCTTCCCGATCGCCGTGTTTCCTAGCTGATCGTCGTGCTTCCTAACCTAAGCCGTGCTTCCTAGCCGATCGTGTGCTTCCCTAACCTAAGCAGTGCTTCTTAGCCGATCGCGTGCTCCCCTAACTAAGCCGTGCTTCCTATCCGATCGTCGTCCTTCCCTAACCTAAGCCGTGCTTCCTAGCCGATCGCCGTGCTTCGCCGTGCTTCCCTAACCTAAGGTGCTTCCTAGCCGATCGCCGTGCTTCCCTAACCTAAGCCGTGCTTCCTAGCCGATCGGTGCTTCCTAACCTAAGCGTGCTTCCTAGCCGATAACCTAAGCCGTGCTCCTAGCCGATCGTGCTTCCCAAACCTAAGCCGTGCTTCCTAGCCGATCGCCGTGCTTCCCTAACCTAAGGCGTGCTTCCTAGCCGATTGCTAACCTAAGCCGTGCTTCCAAACCTAAGCCGTGCCTAGCCGATCGCCGTGCTTCCCTAACCTAACCGTGCTTCCTAGCCGCCGTTTCCTAGCCGATCGCCCCTAAGTGCTTCCTAGCCGATCGCCGTGCTTCCTAACCTAAGCCGTGCTTCCTAGCCGATCGCCGTGCTTCCCTAACCTAAGCCGTGCTTCCTAGCTCGCGTGCTTCCTATCGCCGTGCTTCCTAGCCGATCGCTGTGCTTCCCTAACCTAAGCCGTGCTTCCTATCGCCGTGCTTCCCTAATACCTAAACGATCGCCGTGCTTCCCTAGCCCTAGCCGATCGCCGTGCTTCCCTAACCTAAGCCGTGCTTCTAGCCCGCCGTGCTCCCTAACCTAAGCCGTGCTTCCTAGCCGATCGCCGTGCTTCCCTACCTAAGGTGCTTCCTAGCCGATCGCCGTGCTTCCCTAACCTAAGCCGTGCTTCCTAGCCATCGCCGTGCTTCCGCAGCGATCGCCGTAACCTAAGCCGTGCTTCCTAGCCGATCGCCGTGCTTCCCTAACCTAAGCCGTGCTTCCTATTGCTTCTAGCCAAGTCGCCGTGCTCCCTAACCTAAGCCGTGCTTCCTAGCCGATCGCCGTGCTTCCCTACCTAAGCCGTGTTCCTAGCCGATCGCCGTGCTTCCCTAACCTAAGCCGTGCTTCCTAGCCGATCGCCGTGCTCGCCTAACCTAAGCCGTGTTTCTAGCGATCGCCGTGCTTCCCTAACCTAAGCCGTGCTTCCTAGCGATCGCCGTG